CCACCCCCCCAAACATGAGGGAGTTTCCCAAGCCACTATCCACAGGGCCACCCACCCTCAGAACTTCCGTCTTGTCCGGGTTCAGCCTCAGGCCGTTCTCCTGCATCCATTGCTGTACAGCCCCCAGGCAGCGCTGGAGGGACATTGAGTACGTATTGGTTGACCCTATCCAGGGTCTCCTAGTTACTGAGTACTCAGAGTTTACCATTTCCTTCTTCTGGGGTTGCCCTGGGACTGTGAAACTTGCCCAAGGCCACACAAGCTGACTCTACTCGCAGGAACCACAGTGGGGAATCAAACTCCCAACCTCTGACCCCATAGCAAGATACCTAAACCACGGAGCTATCCAGCCAGCTATTTATATAAATATATGAGTAGGTATGTGGGTTGTTTGTTTAATAAAGTGTATGCCAACTAAAGGAGGACTGCCTTTTGTTGTTACTGTATTTGCACCTGGTGTCTCTCCTTGGAAGTGTGTTCTCAAGATTTTAATATAATCCTTGCAAACGCAGATCTGGGACACACTCAGGATTCTGTGGTGAGCTGCACTGAAATGAATACTAACTGACCAAGATTACACGTGTGTTTTTTAGCAATACAATAGTGACCCCATAGCAAGATACCTAAACCACGGAGCTATCCAGCCAGCTATTTATATAAATATATGAGTAGGTATGTGGGTTGTTTGTTTAATAAAGTGTATGCCAACTAAAGGAGGACTGCCTTTTGTTGTTACTGTATTTGCACCTGGTGTCTCTCCTTGGAAGTGTGTTCTCAAGATTTTAATATAATCCTTGCAAATGCAGATCTGGGACACACTCAGGATTCTGTGGTGAGCTGCACTGAAATGAATAGTAACTGACCAAGATTACACGTGTATTTTTTAGCAATAGGGAAAAACTGCATTTTTTCCTATTAATTACTTGTTAATCCCATTACTCCAGCTGTCAGCCAGGAATATTGTTCCACATATGATTGTCGTGCTGCACGTTCTCTGCTAAGATACATAATAAAGGAATACCATTTCTTGGAAGTAGAAAAAAGTCTGTGGCCTCACTTGTTTTGTCAGCTTTTTAGCTGAGCGGTATTTTAGACTCCTCTAAAAGGAAAGTTCTGTCTATGTTTGTGTTGCCTTAAAAATGCCAGATAGTGTGGTGTGGTGCTTAGAGTGTTGGACTTTTGGCAACCCTTTGAATTAGTGACCTCCGAAAGATCCCATCAGCCACAGTCCTGCTTCTTTGAATCAGCCAGACCAACTCCAGTCTTTTTCTATTCCTTTTTTCTTTTCTTTCCCTACTGCCTTCCATAGTCAGAAGCAGTATGTAGGCAGTAACCTTAAATAATGAAGTTGGGTTAAAAGAAAAGTTGAAAAAAGTCTTATGACAAAAATTAGGAGGTAGAATCCTAAAGTCATCCAAGAAAGCCAGCTTCATAGTTGGCCTTTATTTATTTTTAAATCCAGCTATAGCACACAACTTACTGTATATTGTTATCCATTGACTCCTAAGATCTCTACTCATACCATTAACAAAAAAATGTACTTGTGTTATTTTCAGAAGCCGTCTGGTTTCTCTTCATAATCCTTCTTGTTAGGAGCTGTCTTTCATTTTGCCCGTAAATGTTGTTGCTTGTTCTCCTTAATAAAGAACATCAGGTAGGAGATTTTGCTTTTCCTGTAATAATTTAGAGAGTGAAATTATTTTGAAACATGAAAGTCCTCTAAGTAGATAGTTACAAACAGTGGGTTGAATCCAGACTTAGAATAAAGATATGGAAATCAATGGGACTGCCTAGTCATGATTAACTGAAACACAGAAAGAGTGCCCAAAATGATGATTCCAGAAGGGTAGCCATCTGCTTCAGCAAAAATGATAAACAGCCCTGTGGCACCATAAACACGATGGCATTTATTCTCGTATGAGCTGTCACATGCTGGAGCCTGCTTCCCTAATGATGATTATAAGTTTGCATTGCATCAAGGGCCAACCGAGGGCTGCCAAACCACCACTGTGTGGCTTGCACAGAACAT